CCCGTCTCAACTCACAAGTAAGAGGGGATGAACAACAAATAAAGTAACGCCTTTGGCACAGCTCATTTGAATAGCTTGTGAGTTGACTTGGGTCTGGAAGACTTTTGATGGATTCTGATGACTTGTGATCCATCATAAGTATTTTAGACTATATCACCGCTATTAACCTAAAATGAGCCTTACATAGAAGCAACAGTCCAGCACTGCATGGGTATGATTGTACTTGGTGCGCATGACGTTAGCTTCAATGTCATACAAGCGGACAGTTTCATCCCAGGAGGACACCAGCAGGAACTGGGATGTATTGGGACCAAACTTGACTGACGAGATGCCATCACTTGCACACTGGTTCAGCTTGTACTCGTTGGATACTTCAGGCATGATGGCGGTGGTGTATCAGTGGATCACTGGCAATGGAATACAGTCAATACAAATGAACAAGATGTTCCTTTTCTTCAAACAAAGTTGACTTTACAGCAAATGCAAAATTCTTTTGTTTTTAATGTTTCCTTTTGTCTTTTAAGTTTTAGTCCTTTTTATGGTTGGTTTGTTTGGGGTTTTGTGGAGGAATAAACTTTTTCATTTTGCCGACGCGCATGGCTATGGCGACGCGCACGCATACCAGAAACCAGATTTTTTGGGGGCCTTATATGCCACCATTTATAATAAACAGACCTACCCATCCTTCCTGGATGGAACTTATACTTGAAACTTTACATGTCACATGTCTAAAAAAAAAGTTGCCGAAACAGCCCAGTGTTTGTCCACAATGTAAGTCTAGTTTTTTAATACTTTCATTCACTTATATGTTTTTAATCAAATCCAACTGTTTATTGAAGTAGATTTCAATTTCTTCTTCGTAATCCGTGGCTAGCTTTGGAGGAATTGGAGGGAAAATATCTGACTGGCCCATAGAATAAATTGCTGACTTTAAGGACTCATATCTTGAGATTGAATTGATCTAGAAGCTGAATCTTGGTACATGTACATGGGTATATAGGAAAATATTACTGTAACAAAATTTGATTTTATTATGGTTCCAATTGCACCTTTAAACTATACAGATTTGGCCACAGTAATCCATAGTGGTCATGCATTGCACCTGTTCTGAAGTCAGATTAATGCCACAAAAATATTTCAGAGTTTACCATTACTTTTTTTCAACTTAACCTACCGGTACTGTAAACCACAATAGCTAGTATTTGGGCTACAGTAAAAAAAAAAAAAAAAAACCCAGATGGAATGCTCATTGGTAGTCTTTATTGTTTACTCCACAGTGCTAGGGATATAAGTTCCTTGCCCCAGTTCCTCTGTACTTGGTGTTTATGCAAATATTTCCAAGCATGAAAGACACACTGTGTTAGCATTCCTAATCTTGAAATTCCTTATGCATATTTTGACCCAGCCCTATAAAACCCCTTTGAAAGCCCAGTATGGTGTGGACTTGTGACTGGGGCATGGTGGTGGATGGTGGTGTGCATTTTAGTTCCATATTTTCTAAGTTCCGTACATGTATGGCTGAAGGAGGGAGCCTACTTTATGTGCAAGGCGCTATTGTACTTCACTTAGCACCACCACCACCACAACCATTACTTCATGCCAAAGGGTTCAGTGGTCTGCATAGTCTTGTGAGTATGTTCCAATTTTACCCCCTTGCACCCAGTAGTTTTTTACATTGCCTATACTAGTAGACTACGGTGTCCCATCGTAGTGGTACACTGTCTGAATTTTTAGCTCTGTCAGTAACTAGCCGTTTAAATTATATTTTTCATAATTATTTGCATGCTCTCCCCTGGTTAATTATTTTGTAAGCCAAGAACTAAGCGCTAATACAATTTTAATTATTTCAATTTTCTGATATTTCATGTTCAGTCATTTCAGGTGTCAAAATATGTTTATTTTTTATAACTAAGTTTTCAAAACCGAACAAAATTTTTTGTTTGTTCAATATCATTGGAATCCTTAATATATAAACAACCATTTGTTTTGAATCAGTTTTCAGAGTTTTATCTTTCATTTCAAAAAAGTTATGATTTTCTTTTCCGGTTGACCGCTAGGTCCTGGCCGCAATTTTTTTCTCCCAAACGACATCCTGATCAGCATACATGGTTGTTTAGCACCCTCTAGGATAGTTTTATGTTACGCACGCAGGTATATAATTATTTGTTTCCCCACATTTTGGCGAGCAGTGCGACAGCTCAGTAGATAGAACGTAGGATTTTGCACTGAGTTCGAATCTCGGTTTTGCACCCGAAATTTTGTCCTTTTCTAACCTGAGGCTTTGAAAGATTTTTTTTAAAAGGGAAATAAAGTCCGAATTTCGTAATGTTCAAATTCATTTTTTTTTCTCATTTCATAATTTCTTCTCTTGTTCAAGTCCAAAACGCCATAGCGTACACCCATATACGGATGTCGTTTGGGAGAAAAAAATTCACGTCCTGACCCACATTTTTTTTTTAGAAAAGGAAAATTAATTGACAAGTAGGCGCTAGGCCCTATAGAAAAACGTCTTTTATAAGATCATAGATGAACAATGATTTTATTTTTACTTATAGATTTGAACTGGAACTGAGAAACATTTCAAATTTTGTTTGAAAATACTTTGTCAAATGTCATGTGTACAGTACATGGGAGGTGCCGAGTTGGTCAGGTGCCGAGTCGGCTAGCCTAGGTGCCGAGTCGGCTAGGTGCCGAGTTGGCTTTTATTAAGGTGCCGAGTTGGCAGTTGCCGACTCGGAGTTGGCAAGGTGCTGTTGTGCGCTTTCTTGCAAATCACGCAATCTTAAGAATGAGCACGCATTCTTAAGAATGAGCACGCAATCTGAAGAATAAGCGCTCATTCTATTCTAACTAGTGCCGCCGTCGGGAAAATACCACGCACACAGGGGCAACACAACAGTAACCCTGCCATTATTTCAAACTTCACCCTAACATGCCTAAATTTAGCAATGCTCATTGACCAATGAAAATCTCACATAAATACCACAGACTCAAATCCCTTAAATTGTTCCACAGCGGGAAGTTTTCCGAGGAAAAACTACGCTTACCGGTGTCTCGTTCACACGCCTTTTGATTTTGAAATGTGCAGCTTTGTGTGTAGTGTAGACTGGTTCCGACCAAAGACACTGGCTGGCCTTCTTCAAACAACGAGTCTGATATCAGACGGACGTGGACAGAACTTTGAGAAACGACTTTTGTGGGCGTGGTCTAAGAGGGGTTTTCCGGTGGGAGGCACGCATGAAAATTTCCTTTTTGGGGTGGGGGTTGGGGGTGGGGGTGGGGGTGGGCGATTGGGATTTCCCTATGATAAACATTCAATTTCATCCATACCAAATTTTATCATAGAGACACAAACACTTTGTTTTAATTTCTTTAAAAAATGTAATTTTAGAGATCAGCTGCAAAAAAGGTTTCGAAATAATTTTAAACAAGTTGTCATTTAGAAAAAATTAGATTTGTTTTTACATGTATGCATTTATATGAAAAAGCACGCTCTGATCAGCACCACACCAGGTACATTTATACGTGTACATATTTCAAGAAGTATGTTTACATCTCTTTTTACACTGAACTTCACTCCAGCATTACTTTAATCTGGCATATAGTGGCAGTAATAGCATGTTTCTCTTTCAACATGAAAACTTGTAGGGGTCAATTAGGTGGATTTGAAATTAAAATGTAATAACAAGAAATAGAGAGGTCTACACAATGCTTATCCGTGTGGAATTAAAGCGAAAACCTCATATATCAGAGAAGGCTGCAGTGCAAACAATCTATTCCATCTGTGACTTTTAATACATAAAAAATACTGCAAGTGAAACTTGCGCAATCCCCCTGGCATGTTGGCAATTTTTATACAGTCAGTTAGTACTAACACTTGTCAGTGTACCTAACCAAAATTGAAGGGGCTGTATCATAAGTCTGATGCCTCATAGGTCCGACGCCTCATAAGTCCGAAATTTGGGACTTATGAGGCGTCGGACTTATGCCTCATAGGTCCGACGCCTCATAAGTCCGAAATTTGGGACTTATGAGGCTTAAAGATTCCTTTTGTTTAAGCAATAGTGACTTTGACCCCTCGACCCTAAAACAATAGGCTTCTTATAAGACTAAAAAGAACAACCCACACAAACCAAATTTCAAGTTCCTAAGTAAAGTATTTCTCACTCAAGTTATCGTGGTAACCAAAAATAACACACACACAGAGGTTTGTTTATGGTGTAAGTCAAAGATTTTCTATTGTTCCTCTCCCCTTTTTCCTTTGTACATGTACTCCTTTTTGCAACAGCTGTCATTGGTTTTGTACACGTTTTCTAATCGAGGTTGTTCTCGATTGGGTTCCTGTCCTCAATTCATCGATGATGTTGCACGTGTGTGTCCTCGATTTACACCATAAAGATGCACAGACAGACGGAAGGAATATGCTATCGCGATATCACCCTCCGGCTTTACAGTCAGGGAATAAAAATAGCTTAGAAATTTGGTAAAGAAAGATTTCTAATCACTATAAACCAAAGAAAAAAATCTTTGCATCAGAAGAATAAAATTAAATGCGACTTCAATTAAACATTAAGTATGGCTTACATTTTGTTTACATTCTGGAAAGATACATAATGTTCTAAAGGTAAACTGTACATTTTAATACATATTCAAAAATGCATTGGCTGATTATCAAATCACAAATGCAAAAAGATTTTGTTGAAGTTTGTCTACAATTACAATTCTTCTTGACGAAATTTAACGGCCACAAAATAACATTAAAGGCATGGCTAGCACAAATATAACATCACCGGAGTCCTGAGTCCTCCCCACTTAGCACACATTTGCATGACTGCATTTGGACTTGTCGGTGTGCAAAGGCTATTAAAAATGATGCTATGGCAAGAGAAGCTTTAACAATTGACATTACACTACTTAAAATTCTAGCTGTAAAACCAGCCTAAAGCCATATACATGTAGCTGTAAATACAAGACTACATGATGATAGAAAAGAACTTTAAAATCTAGAAACATGTTTGCAATCCAGCAAGACTCAAAGACGGTATGGATATGGACCTACCTATTTTAGGAATCTCACCCACTTCAAATTTATTCTTTTTTTAAATAAATACATTTTTTCAAAGACAACTTTGATCTCAAATTGACTTTAATCATGGTGAAACTACATACCAATACCTAGTTCACCACGTAAAAGCCACTTGTGAGGCTTTTTTAGGGATCCAAATTTTGGTCCATCTTTGCCTTCTGATGCAAAAAATTCAAAATCATACACAGCATTCTCACACTTTCCATGTAGGACAGACCACATGTGAAGGAGTTAAAATTGTAGAGTCGGAATGGCGAGACCAATGGACCATTCCTGATTGGGCCATGCCCAGCCTACATGTACCTTTGGTTTGTGTAAATTTCTTACAGTTCCTAAATGCGCTTCCATAACTACAGCTTTGTCTATTGTCAGCTTGTTCCCACGTAGTGGTAAGGGGCGAAGACCTAGCCATTAGCTCTAAAACTAGAGATATGGATGCGGCCTGAGTTTCACCACATGGTCACATGACCCAAAGTCTTGATCTGATTGGTCAATGCGCACAAATTACGACAGGCAGGAAGGGTCCATTGACAATGGTATCCTGCAGATTTCAGGTCTCGATTTCATTGCATCGCATGTCCTGCAGTGTACATAGGGATGTGTTGGGTGCTATCTAGATTTGACAGTGTGCACTATCCAATCCATGCCCTCCTATAAGAAACAAAACAAATTTATTTCATTAATGAATGGTCTTGTGTCAAGTTTGAAGAAAGAAAAAGAGGAACAACATGTAATGAGCTCTCTTGAATTCAATTCTGGGTTTTGCCCTTCACTGCAGTAACTTCATAAGGTCTTAATTAGTGGTGTCTGAAGTGCTTGTGCCTTCCACCTCAGTGACGCTGGTTTTGAATCCTACCTAGGACATCATGTGGCTCAGGTTTCAGTCCCTGCCTGATTCATCAGGTTTGTACGGGGTTTTCCTCCTACAACTAAACTGTCATTTCTTCCTCATCTTTTACCAAGGGACCCCACTGGAAGTAAGTCGTAAGACTTCCAAGGGCTATTCCGGCGAATTGCCGAAAAATAAATATTAAAAAAAACATATGAGTAAATAAAACTTAAGTATTTACCTCTACACCCTCCCCAGTCATTGCTGAGCAGGCGCAGATTTGCCACGCTCGGTCCCTGATGGTATGTAGATTCAAGCCCTCTGCGATATCAGCGGCTGTCGCAGCACTGATCAAGTCCTGCTTATTAGCAAAAACCAGCAGCGGAACGCCAGAGAGTTTCTCTTCTTCCAGTAGCTGGCTTAGCTCCTGTGGAAAAAAAATTAAAAGATGCAAAGTCAGTTGCCTAGTTGGGCACTACACTCAACAATTTTGACAGGTCACAGAACCCTGTAGGGGAGTGCGCGGTCTAGTGGTTAGGGTTCATCCCCACTTGCCTCTCTCCACTTGGGAGTATAAATGGGGATTGGCATTAGCTGGGCAGTAACCTGCAATGGACTGGCATCTCGGTCATTTCATGACACAGAAACAAGAGACAAAACACCGGCCTGATTGGTCATTTTGGCCCATCACATACTTCACTACTTACTACAGCAACCCCTGAACATGGTGAAGATTATCAGGACTCATCATGAGAGGTAAACGCTTAAAACCTTGGTGAATACAACCATCTTGTGGTCACTCACAATCCCTTGGGGTGTACAGTGCATGCACTAGTGACCTCATTGCCAGTCAATATGAATGCTATACCTCTCCAGTTTCTTCCAAGCGCGTGCTATCTGCACTGTCTATCACATAGATGAGAACGTCTGTTTTCTCATAGTACTGTTTCCAGTATGGACGGATTGTTTTCTGTCCTGCAAAACAAAAGAAAAGTTTATGAATTCCATTGGACAGACCTGTGGTTGGGTATCAAGAAATAGGAATGGCAATCAGGTAAAAGTGCATTTTACAAAACTTGTCAGATGGCCGACATTTGGATGCAACTTGTTTAAGTTCCCAATTTACCAGACGTTCCTTTAAGACATATGACCCTCCAAGGTTATAAAATGTATTGCAGTAGAGTTTTTCAATATACAATAAATGGACTCAGTCCATGCAAGTACAGTAGATGTTGCGTCTCCTACATGAGTCTTTCTATAAATTTGGGGTCCACTCTTTTTCCTGATTTTGGGTCAACTCGTACCCGAGTTAACTCGTATCCGAGTCAACTCGTACTCGAGTCAACTCGTACCCGAGTCAACTCGTATCCAAGTTAACTCGTACCCGAGTTAACTCGTACCCAGGTTAACTCGTACCCGAGTTGACTCGTACCCGGGTCAACTCGCACCTAGGTCAACTCGTACTCCCCTCCTTTTTTAGTTTGGAAGTACGGATGGATGGTTAACAAAACTTCCGATTTTACCCTCAAAAACGGCGACTGAGAAATAGTAGTTACGCCGCCAGAAATACAAATAAAGTTCAAGGATTAGTTGAAGGCGGTGGTATCAAATGTTGCTCACAATCTGGATGAAAAGGGAAAATGTACCGTTCATCAGCAAGGGCTTCATCGCGAACGGACGGGTACTGCGTGGAGAACATTTTCAAAACGGCATCAGTGTGGTACTCGCAAGTCGACGGAGCCCTCGCTGATAAACGGTAAATTTCACTTTTCATCCAGATCGTCAGATGTGTTATTTTAAAATTTGTGTAGTATTTTCTCTTAGTAATGATGTTTTTCCTTTCTTTTTTCAGAGACCCTGGATCACTGAGATTGCGGAGTGACTGTGCGAACTGCTACATCTTTTTTTTGTTCTAAGGTGTTTTAAGGGCATAGTTTTCTTTTTACGAATTTAGTATTTTAGACCTTTTTTCTTTTAAAGAAAGCTGCTATTAAAAAATGAATTTTGTAATGTAAAAGTAATATTTTTCAACGTTCACTCACTCCATTTTTGGCATCATTTATTGAATAATAACTGCACATGGCACAAATCTCTTTGGGAAGATTGGGGGCCCTGAAAGTACAAATCTGAAGAGAAAATATATTACAGGAAACTTAAAAGAGTCACACGGACATCGTTATTTAATTTATAATGATTCTTTAATATGTTGGTCATTTTTTGTACAATTAGTTCGGTAAATGTCGTTAAAAAATCTTGTGCAGCTTAAATAAAGTTTCTGCGATAAGTTCAACTAGAATATTATTTTGGTAACAACAGAAATGTAGGATTTTTAATTATTTGTTTACATTTGAGGCATCAAGGAAGTAAACACGATAAAGGAAAATGGTGGCTCGTTTCATTCAGAGATGCTCTTTCTATAAGTTTTAGGGGACCAATTTGTTAGTTGATCCTTGGGTGTGAAAGATTGTTTGACATTAGCAAATTGTAATTCAAGTGCAAGAGAAAGTTTTATTATCTTAAACAAAACTGAGCTAATCGGGTTTTGTCCTCGAAACTTGACATCCGATTCGATTCATCATGAACTGTGTGACAGCTAGATCTAGACCATCCGATCGATCGGTTCGAGCAGCAGAAAATGGTTCATCGGAAAACCACAGGATCATCTGTAATATAAAAATAAAATAAATTGATAAAAGCATGCATACTTTGGGTAGAACATTTATTTGAAGTATGAAAATTAGCCCCGTATTAAATATGTACAACTACAACTTACACCAAGGCCTAATGCCGTTGAAAAACGGCGAAGGTTCCGACACTAACTACGCGACGGCAAAAACACCGTGCACGCACAACCACTTTGACCGGCGAGTGTGCGCACAGGCTCGGCGAAAACGATATCACCGTGCACGGTACGACCACGTTGACCGATGAGTGCGCGCACAGGCCCGACAAAAACGATGTCACCGTGCACGGACGACCACGTGGACCGGCGAGTGCGCGCACGGGCCCGGCAAAAACGATGTCACTCAGTGCACGGTACGACCACGTTGACCAGCGAGTGCGGGTACGAGTTGACTCGGGTACGAGTCGACTCGGGTACGACTTGACTCGGGTACGAGTTGATCGGGGTACGACTTGACTCGGGTACGACCTAACTCGGGTACGACTTGACTTGGGTGTCAATTTTGGGGTACGAGTTGACTCGGGTACGAGTTAACTCGGGTACGAGTTGACCCATTTCCTTTTTCCTATCCCTGTTACACTCGACATGTATGACATTGTAAAGTTTGGATCCACTTCCTAAAGGTAGAATGGACCAATTTTCATTTGTGAATGTTTTTGTTTTATTTATTTATTTATTTATTTTTATTTATTCGTGTTCAGTTGTCAATGACCTGTTCTCCCTGGGGGCCCTGGAATACATAAAAACATGATATAATAACGACAAAAATTACCCAAAAAAACCCAATAAAAGACAAAATGAATACATTACCATAAAATAACCCAAGGAATTAAAACCACACACAAAAACCTAGCTAAAACAGACGATAAAATCATGTGTTTTTTTTATGACTGATTCCATACATTTTTTTTTCCAAAAACATTTATTAATTAATGGAGTTTTGTGGGTGATGGGTATTATAGGAACTTGTAAACTCCTTAGTGACGGGTGTAAGGGTGAATTGGGAGATTTAGACTAATTTTTTCGACATATCAATATTTTGAACGCAGTGGCTATTGTTACGGCAGCCGTAACGCATTTCCCATTTTCTATCGTTACGGTAGACTGCAACCTGGCAACTTTTATAAAAAACATGACAAGAAAATATAAAATTAGAAGGAAAAAAGTGAATTTGAACTTTATGAAATTCGGACTTTATTTCCCTTTTAAAAAAATCCTCCAAAGCCTCAGGTTAGAAAAGGAAAAAAATACGAGTGCAAAACTGAGATTCGAACCCGCAACCTCGCGGTGCAAAATCCTACCCTCTATCGGCCGAGCTGACGCACTGCACGATAAAACGTAGGGAAACAAATAATTATATACCTGCGTGCGTATCAAAAAAATATCGTAGAGGGCGCTAAACAACGAGTGCCGTAACGATAGCCACTTCGTATTTTGAAAGTTAAAAAATAAAAAAATCTGATTTAAATTTTAAAAATCTGATTTAAATCAAATAAATCCGATTTTTTTTTTTATTTAAAAAAAAATCAAAAAAATCTCAAACCCTGGATCATGCTTAGCAACTAACCTAATGACGTTTCAGCCCTGTGAATGCTGTATACTTCGAGAAAACACAATACATGTACATGTATTCTGGATCTTGGCTTCAGTTCAACTTCAAAACTTGCCAAGTCACAATATAATTGCGCCCTCCTGTGACACAATTCGAAATCAGCATTCAGGACATGATTTTTATTCAGCCCAAAAAAAATACAGTAGCTACGTCATGTCAGACACTGAACTGACAAATAACAGCAGCCGCGCACGTGTGTATGTCATGTTAATGCTTGCACGCATTCACAGATTGGCCCAATTACAAAACTACAAAGGGAAATTTCCAAAAATGTGTCACTTGAATAATTGGAAATTACCTTTTATTGTTGTCTTCTAATTGACAGCATGCCAGAAGGAATACTCGCACAGGGAATTTAGTGTCATTACTATCTTTAAACCAAGAACATGTAAGTTTTTCGACAATAAGTTGTTTGATTACTTTTGGATAGCTGCAAATGGTCCACACTACCTTTAAGTACTGCTGAACATTTGCTACTATTGAAAATATCATCCAATTAATAACACCCCACATTTCCTGCACCTTCCAAGATGTTTCACCCCAAGAAGGGCAAATCTGGCAACCCACCTCCAATATCCCACACATTCAGGTGCACTCCCTGCGTCGTGACCGTTTTTATGTTGAATCCCAACGTGGGTGTCGTGTGACTGATGTCTTCCTTGGCCATGCCTCGTAAAAGGGTCGTCTTTCCAGCATTATCCAATCCCAGTAGAAGAATGCGCAACTTGCGACTTGGGTTGTTGCCAAGTTTGGACTTCAGAAAGGCAAAAAAGCCCTGGCAAATAAAATAAAAAAATTCAAAAATTCCGCAAAATGAGTCTCAAGGATGTTTAACTCCAAACTATAACAGTGGCAAAAACTATTGTTGGGGCAAAACAAGGTCATTTTCATTTATTAGACTTAGGTCTGTAACTACACAGCGATTAAACATTTCAAATGGCCAAACTTAATATTCTATAACCATGTAGCCTCTGGCCTTCACATTACAATTGCATGAGTTTTCATTCCATAGCGGCTATTGTTACAGAAGCCGTAACAGGATTTAAACTGCTTTCCTTATGGCATTGCAAAACACCATTGTGAATCTATATCACACAACTACCCTACCAACTACAATGCTTTGGTAGCTCGATTGGTTCAAACGTTGGACTACCATGCCAAAGGTCCTGGGATCGAATCAGCACTGTGTGAATTTTCTTTTCTTCTTTTTTTTTGTGCTCTGTTATCGAAATTGGATTGCCTGCCAGAAAGAATGTAGTATTCACAGGCATGCAACTGGGACATTAGAAAAAAACAAGGAAATTCCAAACCGCACAAAACTTTGTAAATTGTACAGTGTTATTTATTTGTTATATGGCATTCATGATTAAAAAAAAAAACGAGTAAATCAGCAGATCTCGTGTTCACAAGATGGGAATCAGACCATTTTACAATTTCAGACTTTATTTCCCTTTACGGCAGCCGTAACGCATTTCCCATTTTCTATCGTTATGGACTACTACAACTTTTATAAAAACATGAGAAGAAAATATAAAATTAGAAGGAAAAAAGTGAATTTGAACGTTATGAAATTCGGACTTTATTTCCCTTTTAAAAAAAATCCTCCAAAGCCTCAGGATAGAAAAGGAAAAAAAAGGTGCAAAACTGAGATACGAACCCGCAACCTTGCGGTGCAAAATCCTACCCTTTATTGACTGAGCTGTCGCACTGCTCACTAAATTGTGGGGAAACAAATAATTATATACCTGCGTGCGTATCAAAAAAGTATCAAAGAGGGCGCTAAACAACGGCTGCCGTAACGATAGCCACTTCGTTTAAAAAATCCTCCGGAGCCACGAATCAGAAAATGTATACTATGTAATTAAATGTTGGAGTCAATTTAAAATAATAAAAGAATAATATTCTTCAATTTTGGGATGAAAAAAAATTCGAAAATGTCGCTAGCTTGCCGGAAGTTGAACGAGGGATCTCTCACTCATGAGATACACAAGCTATGCACTCGGCAACAGGTGTTGCACAAACGAAGATGGTAATTTGAAAAAAAAATACTGGATTACTTGTAATACGCGTCAAAGAGGGCACTGTACAACCTAGCCAGCTTAATATCGTTAACTGAACAAAAGCTGGCTAAATATAATTCTTTATCACACTTCCTTAAATTATTAATATTATTATTATGAAAAAAGTGGCATCAGGATGCACCGTTCCAGTTTCATTCAGGCTCTCAGCTGTTCAGAAAGAATGTTGCATCCTGAGCCACTTTTTTTCTTCATACTATACCATGAAGGTCAGTCATTGCAAAAATGTTGAAAAAGACAATATTAAAATCTGGGACTGAGAAACATTTCCAATTTTGTTAGAAAATACTTTGTCTTTGAAAATGCACTCGACCAGTCGACTCCGTAGCTCCACGTTGTTTGTACACAACCCATGGAGGAATAAGAACACAACCGAAGTCTAGACTTCGACTTCGTCTGCATGCCATGGTCTGGATCATGGATGCAGAGCAACCCGAATGCCTTATTCACAATACAACTTATAAGGACTAAATAAACACTACTACAACTATTACCATTTTAAAGCTGCGTACTATAACGCACAATCTGTGAACAAAATGAGTAACATTCCGAGGAAATCCCTTCCCCCTCGCACCACCCAGACGACTCTGGCAGCTGCGGTCACTCGATATCACGCGCGCTACGTACACAAAATGATGACGTACGTTTCCGCAAAATTATGCAATTAAGCACAGGGCGCCCTCTGTAAAAATTCATTCCATGCTCGTCAACCGGCCACGGCCCCGCATCGACACTTTGTGTAGCGGGATAAGATCGTCAGATCAATTTGTTAGGCCTATACGACGACCGATTCAAGCAGGATACATCTTATGTCGAGACAAAGCACGTTTATTTTGACAAAATTCTTGAAATAATGTCATATTTCATGAATTATTTAGGATTGTAAATGGTATTGGTGACACCGCGTCGGCTGATCTGAGTGAAACCACAAAACCAGACGTCCGTTTTCCAACTTCCAAGATGGCGGCCTCCATGGGCGTTGTTTACTCTTCACTAAGAACTACACGGTTCTTTTCCGTAGCTTGCCCAGTTTTATTTGAGAGTTTAAGAACTACAAGGATAACAGTGAGGACGTTTCTCACTTTGAATTTTTTAGTAATATTGCTGGCTTCAATACCAGTCACATCCGGGGCAAGTGGCAGCAGTGGTAGGGGAAATGCAACTCGTATCTTTGCATTGTTAAAAACAAGTGAGGGAGTAGAAATAGGTGCAGAGGGACAGCTGAAGGTTCCACAAAATGAAGAAGTCACTTTGAGACTTATCGGAGAAAATATCAGGGTTGGAATGAGTGTTTATTTCACCACAACAGATGCAGAGAAAGGAGATTCGTGTGAAGAGCTAGACCATCCTGTCGTGGGAGCCATAGAATTAGATGCTGCCAACTCTGATAATCACACTACTGGCTTGCTGCGTGTAACATTCAAAGCACTGGATCCCCTCTACATGTGTGCTAAGCTGGATGGTAAACGCTGGACACATCTGGGATCGGCAAGCTGGCTCCAAGTTTATGTCATTCCCCCGCTCTTGCCGCTGTGGCTGCAAATCATTCTCATCATATTGCTGTTGACCTTCTCGGGTCTCTTCAGTGGGTTGAATCTGGGCCTTATGGCGCTCGATCCGACCGAGCTGAAAATCCTGCAAAATTGTGGGAACCGCCGTGAGAAGCAGTACGCCAAGAAGATCGCCCCGATTCGCCACACTGGAAACTACTTGCTGTGCTCCCTGCTGCTTGGGAACGTTCTTGTGAACAGCACTCTAACAGTCCTCCTGGGTGATCTTTCATCTGGACTGATGGCAGTCATCGGTTCTACTGCTGGGATCGTTATTTTCGGTGAAATCGTCCCACAGTCCATTTGCTCCCGTCACGGACTGGCTGTGGGAGCCAGAACAGTCTGGCTGACCTACATTTTCATGGTTGTGACGTTTCCAGTGGCATACCCGATCAGTAAAATCCTAGATTTCATACTGGGAAAGGAGATCGGGAATGTCTACGACCGGGAACGCTTGGTGGAGTTGATTAAAGTCACAGATGAATACACAGATCTCCAAAAAGAAGAAGTCGACATCATATCAGGTGCACTGGAGCTAAAAAGGACGCCGGTGAAATGTGTCATGACACCATTGGACGACTGCTACATGTTGGACGAGGAAGCTGTACTTGACTTTAATACGGTCACTGATATCATGAATAAAGGCTTCACACGGATACCAGTGTATGCGGGAACCAGGGATAACATAGTCGCCCTGTTGTTTGTCAAAGATTTAGCATTTGTGGATCCGGATGATTGCACTCCGTTGAAGACAGTCATCAAGTTTTACCAGCATCCTATCAACTTTGTGTTTGAGGATACCACACTGGACGTCATGCTCTCAGAATTCAAGAAAGGTATTTCTGAAAGCCTTAGGGCCCATTTAAAAATCTAAATTCAAAAATGAATCAAGGAAATATTAAAAGGTGTGCTGTGATTGTTCAATTTTACATTTTTGCATTCTTTCTCAAGTGCCTTAGAATTGTTAGAAAGAAAAATAAGAGTTGGTTAAAACTTCATGTGAAAATGAAAGTGGAAGAGAAGCAAATTCCAGGACATCAACTAAAGTAGTTTCAATGTGACATTCCCTGTTACACCAAGAAATTAATATCAAGACCTGTGACATATGAACAGGGGGCTTTACACTGGGAAAATCTAATTAATTTGAACTTCTTCTTTTTTATTGGAATATTAAAAATAATGGTTTTTTTATTGTCTTAAGAATAAGATATTTTGGTATTTGGATTGCTGCTTATTATTGTAAGAAAATGCCTTTTTACTAGAATTTGATAATATTGTGTCTGTACTCTTCCAGGCTCCTCTCACATGGCCATAGTCAACCGCGTCAACAACGAAGGCGAAGGTGATCCATTCTATGAAGTCTTGGGGCTTGTTACCTTGGAAGATGTCATTGAGGAAATTCTGAAGTCAGAAATTGTGGACGAAACTGACATCTACAGTAAGAAGTAGTAGGAATAGCTCTGAGACATAATGACATCAAGCCATGTTTATTAAACCTAACACCCTAGCGTATTTTACTAGGAACTGGACCAATTCCATCAAAATCCATCAATCACTGTGCGTCGAATACAAAACTGTACATGACATAATGGAATCCACCACTGACGCACTGGTTGACATTCATGGACTTGCTACACATGGCTTTTATGACAATAGCAGTACAGGAAGCTAGGCAAAATCAATCGGATACCCCTAGCACTGCTTCAGGCCGTTAGGCCCAAGTCCATCATACTCCATCAATATTTTGTCACGCCAGGCCTTCTGGACCAAGTCCCCTAAATCCACCAAAATGGGGGGATGGATTTTGATGGAGTTAGGGTGGTTAAGGTTAATGCACTTTCCTATGAAACCCAGGTGAGACGAGCCATTAAGCTGCCATAAGAAAGAGCACAGAAAACAAAATGTGACATCATTATGTCTCATGTCTAAAACATCGTTTCAACATATATAAATATTTAAAAAGTATTTATATACTATATTCAATACTAAATAACATGCCAACGCAAAATTCAGCATCGCTTTTTATCCTTGTTTGTAGCTGACAACGTTTCTAAGAAGAAGATCAACAATCCAAAGCGTCGAGATTATTCAATCTTCGCCCAGCAGGACGAAGTGATTCGGGCAAAAGTCTCACCACAGCTAGCCCTTGCTATATTCCAGTTTCTGAATACAGGTTGGTACAAGTGTTAGGAATTAAGTCAATGAACACTTCATCCAGTCTAAAGTCAGGTGACAAACTGTTCAAATGACCTGTGAGAAAAGCATTCCTGCGTCACTTTCTGTTTCCATCAGAAGTCCTCACAAGTCCTCACAAATTATCATAAGTCAATCACTAAATCACAAGAATGTGCAGTTTTTGTGCACTATGACATGCGACTAATTAAATCTGCAAATTGTCTGGTGATGTACTTGTAACCAGACTTGTGACGGACTTGTGATTGACTTGAAAACAACTCTGTGGTTACTTTTAACTCCTTGGGACTGTATGCTGAAAACTTCCTGAATCCTCCAAATCCATCTCTGTGTGAAAGTGGAAGAGTAAACATTTCTCTCGAACAAATCATCAAAATCAAAATTCTAAAAGCACATAGTGAAATATTTACTGGAAAAGTGCAAGTTTACAACAGACCTTCAATGATGATGCAATTCAAACTTTAAAGTTTTTGCTGTGACTTCAGAACTGATCGGTTTCTTACATTTTGCTGGTACCCACTATGATTCTGTATACGTGCTGCGAAATGTTTAACTCAAAAGTGAACTTTCAAATTTTGATGTGCGCGTGCAAAGTTGAAATATCGAGCTGACTCTTCTTTCATTTTTCAGCTGTGGAACCTTTCAAGATTGAGATGATCTCGGAGACCGTCTTACACCGTCTCCTTGAGCAGGACATTTATCACAGTGCCAGGCAAGAAGAGGGCAAGCACAGCCCTGTGTATCTGTACAGCCGGGCGAAACAAGCGGATTACTTCATCATCATCCTGCAGGGTAGGGTAGAAGTCACCATCGGGAAAGAGAACCTGGTCTTTGAGCAGGGACCGTTTGCCTTCTATGGGCAGCATGCTTTGATGTCCCCTGGAGGTTTGTTGACCCTTTTTACATTACTCTTCACCGTAGAAATCTTAATGTAAATCTTTTTACATTACTCTTCACCTATCTTATGGCCAGGGAGAGGAGGACGGTGGATTCCCCCTTGTGATCATAGAAATGCAATGACTAATTTTTATGAATTTGGCGCAGCAGTTCAAAAATTCGTGCCTAATGTGTTTTCCAAGTTTAAGCCCAAAGACGCATTTCATGCGTCTTTCTACGAATGAGGGCATTTTCTTATACACAGTCAATCCCAATTCACTCCTCTACTCATTCAGTTCAGCCAGATCAGTGTTTCAAAACTGACTTGTTTGCAGGTACGGCCAACACCATCTCTCGTTCTGGCAGTCGGACCAGCGTCGGTAGCAGCATGAGTGCCGGCTCCAACACCCCAGCCGCACCCTTCATCCCAGACTTCACCGTTCGTATCCTAACTGACGTCCAGTACCTACGGGTTACGCGTAACCAGTACGCCGCAGCCCGTGCAGCCACGAAGATGGAACGGGAAATGAAAGCTGAGAGCCCAACTGAGACCAAGGAGATCTTCAACAAGGAATGGAAGAAGGTAACAAACAAGGAAGCCTTGCAGAGCAAAGAGGCAGCGACTGACGGGGTAGACATTCGTAGCACCCAAGTTGGGGTGGGTGAAAAAGACAACAAAACTGAGAGCACTTTATAGAAAGGATAAAGGAGATTGTGATCCAGTTCCAATTTGACAGATCTGCCAAGCCCAACTGGCTGCTAAGTCGTACATTGCTGTTGACTGGTACCCTGCTAGCCCTGGTGGACTCCCTTTCCTCCCTACGTTACGGAGGGAGTCCTGAGTACACATGTGCTCACAACCGAACGAAAACATTTCTTACCAATAATTTCAATATTTTTACCTTGTTGGAGAAGCTAATTTTACGTCGTAGTATTCTATGTGTCCTTATCTGTTAGTACGCTGGGTTCAGGAGTTCCATATGCGATGCTGACTGACGTCAATCAGGAAAATAAACTCGAAAGCATCGTTAAACTTGTACGTGTTTAGTCTCTTTTCATCAGTTTCTCACCGCCGAGTCTATTCTAGTCGTACATCATACCATGAACGTCTGTGCAGCGTGTAGTCTGGTTCCCTAGACAGGACAATTATTCTCGAAGCTCATATCACATCTGGTCCGAGGGACAGACTATGCCGCATGAATATGCAGTGCGCACGCGCGATTTGCTTAGTAACCACCCTCATACGCACGCGCACTTACTTGAAGGCGCGGTCGCTAATCCAATGACCGAGCGTGTTTTCGCGCCAGTTACCAGAAACACGTTTCGGCTTTGGTCATTGGTTGAGCGTTTTCGTGACATCGGTTGGCTGGAGTGACGTCACGGTTCCAACCAAAACTAAACAAATGAGGGCGCTAGCGTGCGTGCGCGCTTTCGGATCGTACGCACGTACATTTGTACATGTACATTGTACATGATGCATGACGTACGACTCGGGGAATAAACTGATGAAAAGAGACTACAAACACGTACAAGTTTAACGTTGCTTTTGAGTTTATTTTCCTGATTAATGTCAGTCAGCATCGCATATGGAATTCCTGAACCCAGTGGCCAATAGATAAGGATACATAGAGTATGTAGGCGTGAAATAAGCTTCTATAACGAGGTAAAACATAACAAAACTCTGGTAAAAATGTTGGGATGGTTTCATGTAGAAAAGTCTTGTCCTGGACGTTAGTCGTATTGCAATGAAGACTTCGTCCAACCTGGGCTAGGTACCCTGCCAACTTTTGCTGAGCACTATATTCTGCTTGGCGGTATTTTCAGACTGGTAACTTTATGAAATTGGTCCCTTGCTGAGTGCAGAAAGTTGGTAAGCAGGGAACATATTTGCTTAGCCAAAACAGCTTACCAGCCGAACGTCATGTCATGTCATGTCAATTTCTGTTCACTGGTACTCTGCAAATATGTGTGCAATGCATTTGAGCTTTTCCTAATGTTCTAAGTAACCAGTGAGGGAATACTTGTGCAGTGTCCAGTGAACTATGCACTTATATATAATTAGCATATAGAATTCTTTAGTGCTATATTTAACATATTTTTAAAATGATGAAGGGGACATAGCTAGCTTTCAATGGAGTCCGTGCACAAGTACCCCCTCAACAGTTACAAATGGAGAGTTGAGGTAGACCACTGGGAGGGACATTTGAAAGCATTGTCGATGACGCCCGGTGCTCAAGCAAACATGCTACAGGTTAGGGCCCCTCTCAATTCATATCGACAATGATTTGCGGACAAGTTGTGCGTAGAATGATTAATTTTGTCCAGATGAAACTCTGCATTTGTCCCGGACATGTTCCTGGGAAATTGTTATTAGCAACTGTTTTGACTCACCAGTACTGATAACTTAATTGCAAGAAGATTGCGGGGAAGTTGTTCGAAATATTAAACATTATATATTAACACTCCTGTTATTTAAGAGGTCACCAATGGTCAAAATGTTTGTATCTCACCTCCTGGCATATTGTGTACAAACCAATGGGGGTCTTGATTGGTATTGGTATTGGTCTTGACCAATATTGACCCAAGTAATAACCAGGCTGACAATGCATGTTTCCATAGGAGGGTTAATAAATATAAATAATAAATAAATAAATAACCTCATACCCGATAAAATATCCACAACTGGTCCGGAACTCATCCAATATATTGAATTGAGACAGGCCCTTTAGGCCAAATAAATAATAGTTATGCTTCAGAGTACATGGCATTTGAAAATAGGATAGGTAGGTAGGAACAATTTTTTTTGGCATGGTTTTTTGTGTGCAATCATATGGAGGCATCGGCGTGTAGTCAAGGGTAAAAGGTAGAAATTGATGGTTTTGGGTGTTTTTCTCAGTTTTCCAATAAAAAGATTAGGGTAGGGGCTGTCGGAATAGGGTAGGTAGGGAAACCGGAAGCAGAACTTTTTTTTTTTTTTTGGCCTTATGAATTGAGACAGGCCCTTTACATTCATAATAAAATATGTTGTGCGTTCTTCCCGCCCAACACACGTGAACCAGTGCACGCACGCGGTGAGACCCTCCAACTTGGGCTTTCAAAAGAAGTCACCAAGCGCAATGTTCTGTTCATGCAAGTAGTCCATACACTCAAAAGGCATAGTTCTGGCAAGTAAAAAATATTACTTTTGTTCTTAGAGAAAAAAACTCTAGAACTAATTTCAAGGTGTGGCCGTCCCAAGACATTTTAGCTGGTATTTTCCAATTTCATATTTTATGTGTTTAGCAGTCACCTGCACTTAGTTTTCCCATAAAGCAGCCTGATCTGATGAAAACCAGTAAATGTTAAAGCAGTTGAAAAAAGTATTTTTGTAGTTGTAATTAAATTATTATTGAATGATTGTATATTCCAAATTCTATTGATTTCTTCTTAGGTAAAATATATGCATATTTGCATTCCAGGAGTGTTTGTTTGAAAAAGTACTACAGAAAGATCTGATGGTGGTAATTTACTTGTGTTTTTTTTCCGCTCAGCAGCTCTGTGAACCATTTAAGCCCAATCGGACAATTTCATCCACATAGTTTTTGTGATCTCAGTAATAAAAAATAATTCTCCAATTGTTTTGATTAAAAAGTGCAAATATCAGTAGTATATTTAAAGAAAACTAGTGGAAACCAATGCACAATTTTGCTATAAAAATGTTATGTTTGTTGAGTGGGCCATTATCGGGTGTCACTTTTGTGGAGCTTGTTAGCACAGAAACTATCTGCTTAGCACTGACAGGTCACCAACCAACATTTCATTCAATGTGTATCATTTGTGACTGGTACTCAGCAAATTTTTGCTTAGCACTATTTGTTTCTGCTTTGTAGCGCCATGAAATTCGGCCCAGAATCACCAGTAACACCACTCACCATACAGCTGCTTAACTGAATTAAAATTGCTTGGTGGATTTTCTGCAGATCAATTTTGCCTTTGAGAATGTCTCTCAGAGAACGTGTGTTCAGTACTTTTGATGGGAAAACTGTTTATTCATGAGAAAAGCATAGTGAAGTCACACCATTGTTGTTAGACAACTAGTTACATTAATGAGCCCTAACAGAACTCAACCCATCAAACCCCAATGGCATGTTTGGTTGGAATCTGTTGGGATGAGCACAGTACCCCTAAACTGACAGTCTTTAACATTGGGTTGGCACACATCCAGAATCAAAGTCAGAAATATGTGTGTGCAGTTTCCCATATGGTGTTGGAATTTGCCAGGATTGGTATGGTTCCTAATAAATAATGCTAGGGAGTTAGGGTTAAAGCATTTTAAAGAACGGCTGACATCAAGCTGCCACAGAAGCCTGTATTGGATAGTGAGATGAACCGTGGAACACAGGTTCTCTGAGAGATGTTTTTAAAGAAGGAAATACAAAATGTATTGATCTGTGGATTTTCCCGCTGGCACAAAAGATATTGCTGAGCCAAACTCAGCAGAGATTAAGCCAAACTCAGCAGAGAACCAATGACAAACAAAGTGAATCTCATATGATAGCCGGTAACCAGTTTTTGTTAAGCATGTATTTTCTGTGCTTAGCAGATCCATGAAAGTGGCCCCTGGTTACTAGTTTAATGCTGTTTAATTATGTAAACATTCTAGTAAAAAAGATTTTGAGCAACTTTTTTTTTACCGGAAAAAGTGATGAAATTGTTGTTTTTGAAGCACATTTCTGTGTTAGAAACTTGTTCAATAATTGTGACAAATGTGAATAACAACACAGCACCATTTCTCTTTGTTGTTGTTTTTTTAATTTTAAAAATGTTGCAAGAATGGGCATTACGTTTTTTTTTCCATTGTGAGAATTTATTCCATGTGTATTATACTTAGGTTTTTGTTAATCACGTTAACATTTTTTTCCAAAATCAGAGAGTTGAATAGTAACTGTTGTGATGAAAAAAGTATCAAAATCTAGGATTTTTGCTTAGTGAAGAACAATGAATGAAAATGATTCTCTTTTTTAAATGAAGTACTTTTTGAAAATATTGCACTTGCACAAAAAATTGCACATGTACATATGCAACAGTGATAATCAAAAGATTTGTCCAAAAGCATGTGAATAAGCCATAGCTGTATTTAAAATTTGATGAACATTTTACGTTCACAAACATTTGCAAATTTGCACATATCCACTTTTCACTTCTGTGCACTAAAACTAAGACAACATTAATGCCTTATTGACAGAATAATTGTCAGTGCATCATCATTGGTAATTGAAGTAAATGCATACAGATAAAGAAATGGTAAGGTTCCCTGACCCTACTGCAGATGAAACGGAGCAAGTTATAGACGTCGCAGGAATTGTCAGGTCAGGGAACCAGACTAGCTGACTTGCATCTGTTCACGAATGTGTAACTGATCGCAAAAAAAAATGTGAACTACCGGTAACTTAATTTGGTATATTGGGGGCATTATTTGAAGAAAAAAAGGTCAGTTTCGATTTCCAAATATGGTTGGCTGACCATCAATGGAAATTGATGCAAAAATTCCACTTTTCTTGAAAATGACAGCACACCAGGTGCCACGATTTCACAGGATGCTTGAGACTATTATTAGAGTCAAGTAGGTATTTCATCATAGTTTGCCCAGTAGTTTTTGTGTTTTGATTTTTGCCAATGTTGTATATTACCTTTAGGTATTTGCATCAGTGTCAAAAGGTGTGATTTTATTTTAAAGATAAAAGTTAAATGTATACCCAGCACGATATGTGACGGAGGGGTTTCCCCCCCCCCCCCCAACATCCCCTATTCCCTTTACACACCCTAGACTATTGCTACCTAGCACGTGCACCCCCCCCCCCCCCCCCCCCCCCCCCAATATCTCAAAAGAATTCCCAAGATTCTGGTAACACAATGACCAACGCAAAAGAGGGGTTCCCTCTTTCACATATCTTGCTAGATATGATTAAATGGTGCTCACTTAAAATGCAACTAAATATTTATGGAATGTTTAGCACTCTCGTAATTAAATATCTGAATGTCTACATCTTCCCAAGGACAATGTATAGACTGCACATGTACAATGTACATGTACATTCAGTTTACTTTCGATTCTTGGAATAATCAAAATGCAACCAACTTTTTCTCAAATATTTGTATTTTAACAAATGTATTTAATTTTCAGCACCTACACCAGTATAGACTTCCCTTTCAATTGCTGGAATAGCGGAAATGTCATTGTCTACATGTATAATTACCTGGTGCATGCAACCAGATTGGTAAGTACAGTGACGCATCGTGTCCTATCCATACATGTTATATCTGAACCATTCATAAACAAATCCTGTTTTTTTTTTCTTAATTAAATAACTGTATCCGAGCGTGCATATCCACAAGGCATAAATATGCATTATAGTTTTATTACTCAAGTCGCTGATCTAAAGGAACCACGTGTGCATGTAGTCTGGGTATGCTTATATGTGTGTGTGCTCAGATGTAGTCCATTTATGATCTCGCTAGAAGCAAGGCAGTTGAATTTATTACCCCCAGAATCAATATTTAACTTGGAATGCACCCTGCTCATTCCCAATGATATTGCTAACCCTCAAAAACAGTCGGTGCATTGCAGAGAGAATGATTAAGTATTTCTAAACTAATTTAATATTTTATTTAGTATTTTAAGATGTAAAAAATAAGTTTAGATTGTCCCATATGTTATGTTATGTTGTTGCTTAATAGGAAATATATAAAATAATGTTGGGTGAATTACATGTTTAAACATACTTAGATTTTTGTTGTCGTAGGTTAAGCTAATTATCCGTATCACATTACATGTATTTGGTATAATAACGGGGATACAAGCTTATCTATCGCTTTGAAACATTCTCTACATCTTTATATTTTAAACATGGTAAGCTGGCAATTTCAAATTAATTTGTCTATGGAGAATTTCAGACGTTGATTGCTAGTTCATGGGAATTGATAAAGTCCGTGTTTGTGCAATTGTTGACAAACCCATTATTTAAAAAAACATGTTTAAATTTTATTTTTTTCAGTTGTGGATAATAAATGAAAAGTACTTGAAGCTTTGTCATTTGAATCTATTTATAGACATGACATTGATCTGAATGGTGGAGGAAGCATTACAAACGGAAAACAGCTCAAATAATCAATTAACTAATAATAGTAGAATATCAAATAATTGTTTCAGAAATCATTTTA